CCCTCCCTCCCTCCCTCCCTCTCTCTCTCTCTCTCTCTCTTTCTTTCTTTCTTTCTTTCTTTCTTTCTTTCTTTTTCTCGAGACAGGGTTTCTTGTGTAGCCCTGGCTGTCCTGGAACTCACTCTGTAGACCAGGCTGGCCTCAAACTCAGAAATCCGCCTGCCTCTGCCTCCCAAGTGCTGGGATTAAAGGCGTGTGCCACCACTGCCCGACCAAGAGTTGTTTTCAAAGTGGTTTTTTGCTGTCATCCTTCTAGCACCTAGAACTGAAATATTTCCTTGTATGCTGCCTGGCCTGGGCTGCATTGTGGCTCTCAGGGCACCCTGAGGAAGGTAAGCGCAGTGTTGGGCATAGTCCTTCCCTGAAACCAGGAGTGAGGTTTTTGATTGCTTGCCGTTGTTCGGCACAGGGAATGGGAAGTAGAATGAGATTACCCTCAGCAGTTTCCTGCATTCATTTCCAAGGGTTAGCCTGCAATTTATCCTTCCTCACTTAAGCAGGGATTTGATTCTTCATGGGATTCTTGGGCCATATATTTCAACCTCTTCATCCCAGTGTGCACACTGACCTCAGAGTCTCATTTCCAAAACACTGCTGGCTTCTCTGCTCACTGGTAGGTACTCTCTGACATAGCTGCCCTGAAGGCAGTCTATCAGAGCAGAGGGTAGTTTGGCTAGGACTTCTTTGATCCAGGGCAGAGTCAAGCTCCTTGATAAGTAGCCCAGTAACATGCTATTCCAATGGCTTCTAGCCCTCTCTCAGCCAAACTGTAAGTGGTCTCTTCTGAACAAGTAGTAGCACAGAGAACTGTCTCCCAGATGCTACCTGTGCTGTGTATCTCTTTCTGCATTCCTCTGTGTATTTACACGTGTGCATACTTGTGCGGCCACATTGACATTTAAGATGCTCTTGAGTAGGATCCTCTGCAGGGTTTGCTCCATGTGTTTACTTAAAAGGAGACAGTACAGTTCTTTGTGGTGTGAGTCTTCTGTGGAATGGTTGGTCCTAGGGCCAGGCCATGACTTCTGTGACCTCCTGTCTCCCATTGAAAGCACAGTTGTGCAGCAGGCTTTGGTTCTGCTGTTTCTAGCTTGTGGGTGGCTGTCTTGATGCAGAAGAGCTGATGATTCTGTAGAGATCTGGTGATGTTACTTGTACTGTCTGTAAGCTGGTGATAGTTCACGTGGGGCCTGTTGGCCTGAAAGACAAGGAACCAGCTGCACGCTTTGATCCCCTCTGGGTGGAGGGGGAAGACCTGCTGTACTCACTACTCAGTCTTTTTCAAAAGAGGGGTTTTTTTGTTTTTGTTTTTGTTTTTTTTTTGGTTTTTCTGAGACAGGGTTTCTCTGTGCAGCCCTGGCTGTCCTGGAACTCACTCTGTAGACCAGGCTGGCCTCAAACTCAGAAATCTGCCTGCCTCTGCCTCCCAAGTGCTGGGATTAAAGGCATGCGTCACTACTGCCTGGCTTTCCAAAGAGTTTTTATCTCTAGTTCTTTTGCTGCTGTAGAGCTTTAGAATCCAGTCCCACATTGGACGGTTTGGACCAGGCTTCCTCCCACACACTCTGTGCCTGCTCTCCTGGCTCCCTTAGCTCTGGCTTTTCCAGGCCCTTGGAAATGCTCACTCAGTGTCCAGTCCCTATGACAGTCCAGTGTATTTGCCTAATCAGGGTGTGGGATGTGCTGACAGGCAAGAGGAAGTCATAGGCTAGAGATCATTCCAGAAGAGGCCTTGGATCTGGGATACACAGCGCTAGAGAGTCCTTCAGAGGAGGGCCTTGCTGTTGGGCATCAAAATGAACTTGTGACAGACTTTCTGTCCTCAGATTCTGCTTGTTCTTGCTAACTACATAACTTTTACTCTGTGATTACTTGCTTCTTAGTTTTAGCATAGCAAAGGGACAAGGTGAATTAGACTCAAAGATGTTAAAGATGAGGGAGAAAACACACAGTTAAGATACATACACAT